TGAAAAGGAAAATGTGCAGCCCTGCACAATCATCACTTTGTTCACACCACTGCTGGTGGAAGGACCTCCAATAAAAACCGTCTGTAAAGTATAATCACAGTTGTGGTATGTTCAACTCTGTTGTAACCATTACACACGCGTCAGTACCCTAGATAGTAAGGTCTAAACAGAATCGTGAAATAAAAAAAATAACTAATCCTGAAGGATGTTTCTCTTTAAGGGGTTGTTGCACGTTAAAATAATGCAGAAAGTCCACCGTTAAGCGTAAAATGTTGGCTTAGTAAAACAGTCATAAAAGATAGAGTGGTAAGTGTATGCGTTTAATAACAGACCAGAGACTCATTAAACGTGGAACTGAAAACGAGCGTCCGGTTTTTTGTTGTTGTTTTTTTCTTTTAGTTTTTTTTTTACAAACACGGTTTAACACCTAAAGAATCACGGGTATAAACATTCACAGAAGCGGGTACATCCTTTCAACGATGGATGTGTAAAACGCATCGCACACAGTTCGTACACTACTATATACTAAGTAGATGGCCAGTATAATACTAATGATGTGTTTTTACCTTCCGAAAACACTCCCGATCATGAGCAGGGCATTTGCATAACGCACACACGCACATATCTGGTTCATGAGATGAAAATAACTTTACCACTCATCACAAAGAAACACTGCCCTTAATGGTCGTCGGGCAGGAGTCAGCTTACTGAGCCGGCGTCGCCAAGATCCTAGGAGGTTTAAATTCAGGTAGCCACTGGTGTTTGGCTGCCAGAGATATACTGGGGCTGCGTAGCCACTGGACCGCGAGGTGACCGGCAATATTGAGCAGAGCAACAGAATGATTGACTCCATCTGCGCAGAGCAAACAGTGTCATTCGGTTAGTAGGTACTCTAGTTTACTCCGACGTGCCAATAGCCACCGGTGGATTGGGTCAAACATCCGAATACAGGACCCTCTAAAAGAGTATTGGTTATCAGTCACACTGTGCTGGATACACGTAGGGAATAATGATTGTAATAAAACATTTCAATCAACAAAACTCGTCAATTGCAATCTGCAAAACTAAATTATGCGAGGTCTGTGAAAACAGATTAAATGTCATCTGATATAGTTTGAAGTTAATACAGGCAGTGTTTGTTGGTAATGACAGTGGTAGAATATTTTCAGTCCTTGCTGCTATGATATTGCTAAGACAGTCCATTAAGGTTTCTTTAAAATTGATCAAGTTTATTTTGCTCTCTTGCAAAAAAAAAACACCCTTAGCGGATTATCGCAACAACAAAAAACACCCCAATTCGTAATAAACACGACTCGGGGCTTGCTGTGGTCCACGTCTACCAGCGCGATGTGACGCAGTTGCACAATTAAAGTGTCGTGATTTTATTTGAAAACCGATTTGTTTGTGTGTGCATCGTGACGCCTCTATTGTGGCTGCAGGGGTGACGTGAAGCAATTGCATGCCAATTATATACGAATGAAAAACAGTTTGGTGCACGTATCATGCGCTTGAGGATTGGAACGTTGACATTTTCCCTTTCATTCCCAGTGAGCCAAAATACTGTGGATTTTTATTACTTGACAAAAAAACTACACCTGTAGTTTTTTTTTACAAAAGCTATTAATAGGGAACATACAACGGAACAGTTAACATTGGCTCATGCGAAGGAACCACAAGAATCCTGGTATTGCTGGACTGCGAGGGATGGTGACGGTGGAGGGAAGCCTCCTTCATCCAGCATTGAACAGTGGCTGCTGAAGATGATGAATTCGTTTTAAACGTATGCTTTCACGACTGATACTACGATTCATAATTCGTTTATTTTGGGTTAGATCATTGTGTAGGTATAATGTCAATGTTTTTGTTTTAAACTGTAAACCTGCACCGCCCAGCGACAGAGCTAATCAAATAAAGTTGTCACGTGGGGCAAATGTGCCAATTGATTTGGTTTTTCAACAAAACCCGAGGGAGGGAATTTTAAAAAGCAAGGATCATTTTGACAATATCTGTACCACGCTTCGCTGGAGGTTCCAACCAGTATCATCACGTGTTAACAAAGGCTTAGCCCTCACGTGCTTTTGGCTGGGCGCCACTGTGGCGAGATCTTAACCACCTCGCTTGGTATACAGGAGATCGTGGGTTCGATCCCTACCCTGGCACCTGCTGTATATTTGCAATTTGCATGTTCTCTCCCCGTGTGTGTGTGGATTTTTCTCCAGCTGCTTTGATTTTTTTCCTCCACGTTTGGAAACATGCGTTTAGAGTACAGTATTTGGCTGCTACATATTTCCACGTAAGCCAATTAATTGAGCTATCATTTGTGATAGCCAGGTCGCTCCTGAAAAAAAGCTATATAGCTCAAGGGGCCTTACCTGGTGAAATAACAATAGTTTGTAGTGTATTAAGTGTCAGCAAAAGCTCAGCTCTCACGTGAGGACTTGATTGTGCCTGTCGGGTGGTGGAGGGTTATAGTAAAAAATATAATTAATAATTATATCGACACGACCTAACCCAATATAAACTAATTATAAATCATGGGAAGAAGTTAAAGCAAATATCACAATAATCTCAGAGGTTATGTCTATTTCCAACTAACTAAACATCTAAAAGGTATTCAAAATGACATTGCAGGATATAATTAAAGAGCGAGAAGCTTCAAAACAGTCTCTAAGTGAATAATGCAAGGTTCACTTACGGTGCCCTCAGTACCATGTCCCTATAGGATACTTAGGGATTTTTATTTACTACAATAGTATAGGATTTTTGTGCAAGGGAATCTGGAAAAAACAAACCATTCAACAGTTTTGATTGAGATTACAATCTTTAACGTTCTACATTCCACTGTTAAAAATGTGCAATTTATGCAATGTAATGATATAATATATTATTAACACAATCAAAAGTGATGTGAAAAATGATATGCCTCAATAAAAACAGCTGCACAAGTGTATTTTTAAAATCTAATTTTCATGGATACACAAAATGGTTGTGAGCTTTATATTGAAAGTTTTTTAAACATTACTCACTGCAAATACATTTGTACATATTAGCATGGGCTATGACATGATTAAAATTACATTGCGAAATACAAATTTCAACCACAGTTAATCGCTAAATCCATTATAATCGAACGTGGTTAGGTAAAGACTTGTCGGTCAAAGAGCTGACACTAACTTTGTAATTCACTCACTTAAAATAAAAAAGCAAACTTTTATATATTTTGCTATGTATTTAAAAATAAAAATCTGATGCAGCAAACAGAATACAGTTTCTAAGTGTAGTGTAGCATCATGTAACCACAAGGAGTTAAATCCTCCATAAATATTCATGGCGTGTTGCAGGGCCACCCCAAGAGGTTCCTGGAGGCCCTGGCGGTCCAGGCCCCGGGGCAGCCACTCTGGGCGGGGGGAGGGCCCCCTTAATTCATTAGCGATAAAGAAAATGGGCCTCATGCGAGGCCCTCTAACGGTGTAAAGGCCCAGGGCAAATGTGGGCCATTTGAAAACAACGCTGGGCGGCCTTTGCTGCGTGTGGGCACGCTCATTCGGGAAACCTCAGCTTGGCTTCGCAGCAAAACGGTAGAGTACAATTTGAACCGTGCGCTTTTAAACCAACGTTTTGCAAAGAAAAAACAAACAAACTCGTGTTCCTGCTCCGACGAACATCCCTCCGGCCCACGAAATGAGCCTTGACGGCACGGAGCAGATTTGCCGCACGTTGCCACGACTCGCGAAAACACGAGGTGGCTCAAGCCCAGACTCGACTTGCAGGAGGAGGAGGAGTTCCATTCAATACAACACTCCGCGATGCACAAAAAGACCAAGGACAGTCCTTAAGACTTGTCACTGACAAGAGTGGGATCTGATTGGATCACCAACCATTGCACGCACGTAGTCAATCTTCTCCGTTATCTTTGCCTTTCAACAGAAATACACTCGTATGCACAGCAAGAACCCAATGCATATTTTTTTTTGTTTTGCGCTCAGTTCGTTGTCCTTACCCCGCCGCCCCCCCCCCCCGCCTAGCACGGTTGGCTACGTACGGTGCGAAAGAAGTTCAGCATACACACGTACGTATTGAGCAACGGTCCTACAGCGCCACCGTGTGGTTTAGTTGTTGTTATACCGCACGTTGCGAGGCACGATGTCCGACGTTTTGCTCCACGCTGCTGCCGAGCTTCTTCAGGAGGGGAAACTGTCCGACATCGTGGCCGACGAACACGCGGCACAACCCGACAACACACACACCTGGGAGGTATGCAGCACGACCGCGAAAGCCCACGCGCTAGTATCGCCCTGCTCACTGTGAAGAAGGCCCACTGCCTGAAACGTTATCCCGTCACACCGTGCTCTACTGTTTTAACAATGAGATCAATAATGCCTTTTACTCATCCAGGAAAGTATCGCCGAGTCTTACATACTTTTGTTTTTACCTTTCAGGAGGTCACGAGGTGTGTCCACATTGGGATGTTTGGTCAATTCCATGAATGACTGTTTGGCATTGTTAATGATAACTGTGGTGAGTATTATATTCTTAGTTTTTTCGGTAAAGTCACGTTGAAGAGAAACAACAAAATAACAAAATATATATAAAACAATAAAAAATTCTCACGACGTTTCGACCATAACTCAAACGGTCATCATCAGGTGTGTCGGTTTGCATAAATTTATTTTGAAAACGGCATATTTATTTATATATATATAAATAATAATAATAATAATAATTTATGCAAACCGACACACCTGATGATGACCGTTTGAGTTATGGTCGAAACGTCGTGAGAATTTTTTATTGTTTTATATATATTTTGTTATTTTGTTGTTTCTCTTCAACGTGACTTTACCGAAAAAACTAAGAATATGAATTACTGCAGTCACGAAAGCTTTAAATCAAAATGTGGTGAGTATTCTTTTTGTTCCTGCATTTGTTCTTGTGCAGCACTGGCTAAAACGCACTCGAAGCGTGTTAATTGCTTATGTAAGGTTAACATTGTCGGCCACTTCAACCGCTCAATAGTGAATTCAATTATAGTTGCTTGCCCGATCGCTGTGCGTCAGAGACCATCCGCCACACCACATCCACGATGGCTCCCACCAGGTGTTACCACTCATCAAAGAGTCCCGTCAAAAGACACCCCTATAAACACGAACGAACTCAAACGAATACGCGACCGCTTAGCGCAGTCCAAAAATCACCGCGGCTACTTGCCACCAATTAAAACGCTGCCTTTTTCTTTCGGCAAACACACACACACTAGAGAACACGTGTGAATGACGACGGTGGTGGTGTTGCGTCGGTGTGCTTTCAATCTCCGTCGACCTCAGCCGCTGCCAACACAGTTGGTTAAATTGAGACACGGCATCTAAGTGGCTCTCATCGAGCGTAACGTTCAATTCTGAGTACATCTACAGCCCTTTGTCAATCCACTGCTGGATGGACGAGGGCCTCCCTACACGTGGAGGTCCATGGGGTCATTCGATCATACTTCACCACGCTGGTCAGTGCAAGTTTGGCGAAGGCAGGAAGCACGGGAGCATAGAAGCACAGTACAACAACGGATTTTGCTGTAATGCCCACAACATAGCCCCGGAGTGGCCTATAATACTGTGCACAAAATAAAGGAATGTGGCTACAAGAGGTGGAACACCCTTGTCAGGAGATGCGGTGGCATGGCCCGGCAGCTTTCCCCCCGTGATATTAGCTGTTGCCCATGAGCGTCACGGCAAAACATTACCCACCGGCAAGTCACTCCAGGCAGCACAGGCCACAAGGACTCTGCTGCCCGATTGCCACCTTGTCCAGGTTTTTGAGGTAGCTGTCCTGGGAAATCTGTAAGTTTTCCCTGGACATAAAAAAAAATCCCGCTTTTTGTCAGTTGTATGATAACGCACCACTCAAGACAATGCATTTACATACAGTTCTCCCCTGTTCTGGTATTGAATTATATACTTCTTACCGTGATTTGTCCCAGTTTTTTTCTTCAAATGTCAGAAGAGGCAAGCCCAACTCTGACGACAGGGATATATTGAAGGAAAACTGCACATTGTGCACACCTCTTGTGAGTCTCCCAAGGACTCTAGTTGGATGGAGAACATCAAATAATTCACTGAAAGGGGGCATCGGAATATTTCAATTAAGGCCCAGGATTGAGGTAAATGGATGCGATTGGTTACCAATGGTTGGTTTTAAGGTCGCACTCATTGCACACACAATGTGCTTGCCACAAATGAACCACAATACTTTGCTAATCTCGCCAAGGAGCTTAAACCATCACGTGAGCTCCGGTCATCTGCGCAGAGGCTTTTGGCGAAACCCATCGAACAAAGACGGTCACTTTTAAACCATCTAGATTGAAAACGAATTTCTTTAGAACTACCTTTTCAGTTTAGATTGTTGTGCTTTCCCCGCACCTTCTATTGGCACAGTTGGCTATGTAAGGTGCGAAAGAAGTTCCACATACATACACATTTCTCGAATCAGGAAGGGCGTTCGTGAACGGATGACTACATGAACGAGGTGATACGAATATGCATGATCTACAGGCTCCTTCCACAGCTTACACAGAGCATTGTGAACTTGTTGAGTCTGACAAGTAATTTCCGATTTGCTCTGTTGTCTGCGCATTCCTCAGAATAAGCAGAATTTTGTATTTATTACAATTCCAATGAAGAATAAAACCACAGCAAAGTAGTATATTATCTACTGACCGTTGGTTGGGTCCTTCCACAAGCTGTTAATTAGGTACATACTAAATTAAAACTGCCTCACGCTTATAATTAATAATTTGTTGCCATATATATACTATACATGCCATGGTTTTTTTTACGAGTATCTGCTCACTGCCCATATCCCAGCAACTATTAAGTGCTCCGTTTGTTAAAGGTTCTACAAGAATATAGAGCTTAAATTGGCCCTTCACTGTTTGCATCCCCAGTGCTTGAAATTATAACCAACGGACCGACAAATACTGTCTTCTCCAGAATTATAAGATGTCCCGGAAAGAAAAGTTGCACCACAAACAATTGCGCACAGCGTGAATAAAGTTGTGCAAATCCAGTCACGCGCGCGCACACTCACACCATGTTACAAGATGCACCTCCCAGCTTTTACTTTAACATATTGCCAGAAAAAAATACGTGTAATAATGCAGAGAAGATGTTGTTAGTTTTACCCCATGTATTGTTTGCTCTGCTATTGTTATGTTTGTGTAAATTTGTTGATGGGGGGAGGGACAACTGAGGGCATACGGATATCACAAAGGTATCTGAATATCGGTTGGCACCACTGGCAAAAAGGGGCATTGTTACGTTTTCTCTGAGCACCCCCATGAGTAAATAGTGCAATCCACTCTCCAGAGCAATGCCGAGGCCTGTGCTGGAGTGAAAGGGGAGCGCTATAGTGGCACGAGAAGAATAACCACAACACAGGAGGGCACGTGCACGTGACTGTGGAACAACACCGGAGCGTCTTAAATTGACCGAAATTATACAATGAAGAATTGAAAATACATGCAGCTGTTTTAGGCCATCCGCACCTAAGGGCGTTCTGCCAACGGTTGTTTTTTTTTTGCTGTTGTGAGGATTTGGCCGCGGGAGAAAAACTGGAGAACTCGGGTAAGAAAGAAACACAACCGTGCATATAAAGATGTGACACAGCACTGCAATCTCCTGGCCATGTCGCAGTCCCACACCTAAAACACCTGCAAGCCCTGGTGGTCACTCGTCCAAGTGCACAACTAGGCTCAGCCCTGCGTAGCTTCTGACGTCTGATGAAATGTGGAATATCCATGCTGATTTGATCACAGGCACGGCATAATGTCCGTCAACTTCAGGTCTGGATGATATGACAACCGAGTCACATTTGATAGATAACCGATACGCAAGTAGATTCTTGCGTCGACCATCGGGAAATCACGAACAATAAAAATGCATGCATTGTTAGACGTGCGGGAAAATACTTTTACTGCGCATTTCCTGTATGGGGGAAAAAAAAATCGAACTTCGTGCCATCACTGCCGATACACCCCGTCCACAATGCTGCGCGTGAGCAAATTTGATTTAACAACAAAAATACACCCCAAAAAAACTGTATTATGGATATTGATCGCGAAAGCCTACGTGTTAAACAAAAAAAAACCAAAATCGACAGTCATTCACCAGCGAAGGCTTAACGGTCAGATGGGAGTAGCTCTCGCCAGATGCACCTACAGTTCCTGGGGTCACCCAACCCCGTCCGCAATGGCCACAACCCCCAACGCACGGCCCTGCGAATCGAACCGTGGGCACGCGAGCGTCGGGCACTGATCGTGGCTGAGATGCAGCACCGGGTTCGCTCGACGCTTCTAAAGGGCGGCTCAGTCAAGGGGTCGCTTCTTGCGACGGGAGGCGCTTGGATGACTCGGACCGTTTAACACCATCTCAGAGCACTGCAGCTGGTAACCACTGGTGATTAAACAAGTTTCTCAAGAACAGTGTGTTTACGGTCTCAGCCGAGTTACCAATCAATGCAAATAACAAACAAAAAAAAATCCGTAATATTTAATTTAGCTTCCGCCACGTAATTCGCCTCATCCGCAGCTGATAATTGAAATAGGTTTGATTGACATGCGGCAAACACTATCAGCGGAGCATTGAAAAGTCATATCCCCCTATTGTGGATAAAGACACCGAAAGAAATGACCTCAGAAGTAGTTCAATGATGTCATCTTCCGAGGCCTGTTCTCAGACACACAATGCGAGTTCCGAACAAGATTTTCGTCATCCTTTGACTCAACGCCGAAAGCACAATTGTAACACAATTGAAAATACAGTGCTCTAGAGCAAATTAAACAAATACAAAAAAAAGATGTGGCTTATGCATCTCACAATCTGCATCTCAGGTTGAGTGTTAAGCCAAAAAAAAAAGCAGCGGGTAATCTGCCAGGAGCATTTCATTAGAATGCATTGCCACCGTGCGGAGGGTGACATCTCTTACTGGAATGACTTCATGTCTGCATTGTATCTCTGGACCCTTTACTGGTTCAGTGCTGGAGGGCTGGTAGGGCTGGTAGGGCTGGGAGGGCTGGTAGGGCTGGGAGGGATGGGAATGAGGGAAGAAGGAAGGGGCGTTCGGATGGCTAAAAGTGGAGGATGACTGGAGCTCGGGAAGTGGCTCGGAGGTGACGGAGGGCTTGTATGAGACGCCTCTTGTCGCCTAGATGTTCGTCTCCTTTTCGAGAAGCGCACACACGGTGTCGGGACCTTTGCTCTCCTCCACGCGGTTGCCCAGCTGGTGGCGCTTCATCTGTGGCAGGCTCGAGCTGGGCTGCATGAGTGTGTGGAACCGCTGGCAGAGAAAGGCACCCCGGGGAGAAAAATGGTGTAAAGTGTGAGTAACAACGTGGTATGTTGGGGGGGGGGGGGGGGGGGGGGGGGTGGGGCTGAAAAAATAGACATAAGCCGCCCCACGAGCCTGTTCACCTTCATGCATTGTCAGTGTATTAGCAGGGGGAAAGCTGTGATTCACTGGTAAGCACACCGCGCTATGAACTTGGCGACCCGATTTCGATTCCCAGTCACGGCTAACATCAATCAGTGGCGTGCGATATCTGAATTATCTGAACCAGTCCTGATGACATTAATGGTACGTTTCTCTTCGAAGATGAATCCAAATTGTATTGTCTTATTTTTCTTCTTCTTCTTTGGTATGGCTGCTGATGTAGATGCAGAGCAACAACTACAATTTCACATTCAGGTGGTGAAGCCCAGACAACCTCGTCGTCATTGTATTGTATCTGACATAAACTAAAATATCTACAATGGCCATTCTAAGCTTTGGACCACTGCTCACATTGTTACATTATATATTATTTAGTTCTAAGGCAGGATTTGCACCTCCGATTAGCATGGTTGGCTAAGTACGGTGCGAAAGAAGTTCAACATGCATAAATAATGACGTGGCAGTAAATGTCCATAATAGAGGCTTTGGGGTTAGATCGTGTAAATATAAAATATAAATATATTATGCGATCTAGCCCAAAAACCTCTATTATGTATGATATTGGTCGCAAAAGCCTACGTGTTCAACTGGCAGTAAATGTATTTCTACTCCACTTATAAAACAACATAGGTAACGTTTTGTCAATCCACCGTTGAAGGCCTCCCCATGCCATGTGGTTTGTGGAGGCTGCTGGACTATACTTGACCATGCTGGTGAGTACTGGTTGGTGAAGGGGGGTGGGAGGGAAAAGTGATGTTCAGGACCGGTTCAGATATCGTTCGCAAGCCGGGATTATAAACATAGCCAGGAATCCAATTCAGGTCGCTGGGCTCATATCACAGCGAGCGCACGTATCTCCACACCATCTCTCCACCCTTCTATGTGTGTGTACCACGAGTGACGACGTATGAAGCAAACATGAGACAGCTTTAGTGTCTGTAAGCGAGGAAGCCAAATTAGCAGTTTGTGATTATTTTTTTTTTCTGGGACCTTTCCCCTGCCAACTTCTTAAACTTACCGCGTCTCTCCACAATCGCATCGGGGTTCTAATTCCCCCCTAATTAGGCAGCTCTCGGGCAAAATACTGTAATTAGAGGCAACAAAAACGACGGCGAGAAAACTAATTTCCACTGGCGTGGCACCAGGCCATCGGCGAGGAATCGCTCGGGGAGATGCCCCTAAAGGATCTAACGATGCGCTCGATTCATCGAATGAAATAGATTCTTATGATCGCAGTGCACGCATCAAATTGTGCATGGAAGAAATTATCGTTTATAATATATATGCAAATTATATCCAATGTTGTATGCTAAACAGATCAACAAAGATTCACCCACCCCAGAAACTCGACGGATTGTCACAATACGGTGGAGAAATTCCATTTAAGGTATCGCTTATTTCTGGGTCCAATGTTTTTTTTTTACCATCTTGTTTGTATTTTTCGTCATTAAGTGGTATTTTGTCTTATTTGTATAGTTGTTATACCATGAGCATGATTTTTAACATTGACTTATCGTTTGCACGTAAGCTGCATGACTGGCAAAATATCTGATTGTCGTACGCACGGTTCAATATACGGGGCCAGGTCAACTGTTGGCCGCTGCTCAACGTACAGTTATCCCGAGCGCACCAAACCGATCGTCGCCGACGAGGAATCGACACGGAACAAAACGGTACAAACGTGCCATAAGAATTAAAAATAAAGGCGACAACAAAATAAAGCGATCTATTCTTGAACAGAATTGTGAATATTTGTCGGATCGCAGGCGTTGGGCGGGGGGTTTGAATTCGTACATGACGCACAGGTGTGTGATACGGCTCCGGTTCATCGTGCGCCAACAAACGCTCTTGCCAACGAACATGCCTTCCAGTAGATGGCAGTGTAACAACGCCGCGCGGCGGCCAACCGATGCCATCTGGAGCTTGCGGCCGCCGGTTGCGAAGCGCAATTACTAAATCATAGCTTGCGGCACTCAAGCGTGCGCCTTCATCTGTTACTGGGCCCATGCAGCCAATTTTTTCTCTGGAGGAGGCCGCTCGTTAGCGCGAGGGAACCCTGAAACCGCACCCGCACAAACCCGGGCAGCAGATGCGGACACCTGATGATGATGCACAAGCGGAAAATGACAAAACACCCCGGCCGTGTGCGGAGACTGCGGTCACACAGAACAGACCGCGAAACGTACAACGGACTCACAAAAACGAAGGAGGCCTTATCATCACCATCACCACGGCGATATACACTCCCCTGCTCCCGTCGTATTTAACCGTCTCGAACCACCTCAATGTACAACCATAGTCGTTGCTCTTCATCAACGTGAGCCGTACGAAGAAGTGCAAGGGTCAGGAGCGCCTCAAAACTAAACAAAAAAATATATATTTCGATTTAAAGCTTTCGTGACTGCAATGATTCATCTTCTTTGGTTCTTTCGGTAAAGTCACGTAGAATGAGAATAAAATAATCAATTGATAAAATAAAATAAGATATCTCCTGCTAAAGCTGTGGGGAACTACCCGCTCGCTCCCTTGCTCGCAAGACGCGCTCGGCCCTGTCGCTCGCACGCTGAGCGATGGGCCAGAGCTCGCCGAGGCACAAATAATGAGCTGTTCAAAAATTCTGCGAGCACAAAAGGGGGACAAGCCGCACGTCGCCTCCCTCGTCTTCCCCTCTGAAACAGCGGCCCGTTTTATCGCGTGGCATTCGTGCCGGCTTCCCCGAGGCAAGGCGCCGAGGTCACGGTCGAGAATTGAGCGCATCTGAGGAGGCTCGGTGCACTTTAGTGCGCACTTGTGGGAATTCAAATGAGGGCACGCACGAAACATCGCTTCGTTCTTCCACGTCAAAAGACGGCGCCGTTCCGTCTGCGAGGGTATATATCCAGTCACGATTTTTTTTTGAATGCAATGTTGTGCCGGTGGAACGGGTGGCTCAAGAGGCTATGGCGCTGAGCTGGCACCGCTGTGATGCCGGGTTTGAATCAAGGCAGCCGCATGCGATTGACGAGGGTTCTCACGTGGAACGAGTGAATGGTCCTCATCCCAGTCACCGACGTGTACATAAAAAAAAACGACTTCCACATTGAACTTTGACCTCAGATGACGTTCAATGTCCTTCCGCAACTTAATTTGGAGAAATTCCTTCAGTCGACGAGATATCTGCTTCTGTTTTCGGACTCAACCGATTGCACTACTCTGCAAGAAATCCGAGTCGATCCTTTGTATCATGGCATGACACCGACAGCCCAAAAGTGGTCTGTGAAGGGCATGTCGCCAATAGATCATCGGCCTAAAGGTGGTGGGAAACTGTAACGGTGGGCCTTGGAGGTCAAGTTTGTACATTATAATAAAGACAGCATCACCATCATTGGAAACGGTGACCTCTTGATCTATCAATTGCATTTACAAGGCCTTTGTGACCAGACTTTACCAAGTGTTCAATACACTCTGATCAACGCACGTACAATATGCTCGTGGCAAAACACGGACCATGTTCATCGTCTTGGACGGAATGGAGCGGCATTACTCGGAACAAAAAGAGTGAGCTTGGACTGGCTGACCCAATCTAGCGGCTCCTGTCCACCTGCAGTGTCAATGTTATTTCCCAAATTAGTGATGAAAATGCTTTTAAGTCAATGAAGTGTTTATTATTTCAGTCAACGATGACGTGGTCCCGTGGATTTTTCTCCGGGACCTCCGGTTTTTCCCTCCACGTTTAGAATCAACATGCGTATAGAGTACTCTTTGGTTCTTTCGGTAAAGTCACGTAGGTATAAACTAAAATAAAATAAATCACGACGTTCCGGGAGCAACACAAGCGTCCATCATCAGGTGGGTAAGCATGGTCTCTGCTGCTGAGGCAGACTGTTTTAAAAGGTTTGAAATGACTGTAGCCCAAGGGTCATAAAAAAGTGGCCGGGGCTAGTGATTGTAATGTGAGAAATTATCATGTAACTGTAAGATAGGAGAGCGGCCTTCTAGACGAGGGCACGGAAGTGGCTATGTTAATGTGAGGGATTAGCATGATGGTAATTGGATTAGCATGCTGTTAATGTAGGAGGCCGATCTCCTATCTTACAGTTACATGCTAATTTCTCACATTAACATCACTAGCCCCGGCTACTTCTTTATAACCCTTGAGCTACACCCATTTCAAACCTTTTAAAACAGTCTGCCTCAGCAGCAGAGACCATGCTTTTCCACCTGATGATGGACGCTTGTGTTGCTCCCGAAACGTCGTGATTTATTTTATTTTATACCTACGTGACTTTATCGAAAGAACCAAAGAGTATGGATCCCCGCAGTCACGAAAGCTTCAAATCAAGAAGGCGTTAAGAGTATTTGGCTGCGATAAATTTCCCCGTGATAAACCACTTCCGTTGGTTATTATTTGTGATAGCCAGGTCGCTTCTGAAACAAAAAAATAGCTATATAGCTCAGTGGGCCTTACCTGGTAAAATAAAAAAAAATACAGATTTAATAGTTTCAGTCTATAGAATAAGACTACGAAATATATAAATAAAAAAAGAGCCGACTGAATTAACACTGTGGGTCTGCCACACGAGGACACGGACACACGCGCGCCACGCGCTCACCTCCTTGATGGTGCCGGGCGTCTTAACCAGCTTGTAGACCATGACGATGGGAATGCAGATGACGGAGGAGAGGGCGAGGAACCAGCCGAGGGCATAGCCCCACGTCGGGTAGACGTACACCTTGTTGTAGGTCAGCGGCATGTACTTGATGAGCGAGAAGAGGAAGATGCTCTGTGGAGGAGGAGGAGGAGGTGACGCAACAATTGGGGCGGGAGGTGACGGTGCGTCGCGCTGGTTGCTCGCCTCTGCTCCGGACGTGCGCGTACGTAGACACGTGCGCGCCGTTGACACGCGCAAAAAGGTTGAATTTATAGACATTCCAATGTGCGGCTGTGACCAGTGGATCGCTCCCTGCAACAAGGGCTGGGACGAATGGTAAATGAAGTAGATTTATGCGATGAAAACATTGCGACCGACTACTTTTTTGTTGTGGTGGAATCCTCTGGCCCCTTTAAAAATTGGTGGTCGTGTCGATATCTTGCCTCCCGAAGGCAGGAACCCCCCCCCCCCAGAAGCCACGCCCAGCGTGACACGGACCATGATGCCGATAACGTTACCCAGGCACTGCCCATCACATCCCGTCCAAACGTAATTGTTTTTGTATTATCCGATTCGTCATCGAACGGAGAGTAATCGACTGCTTGAAGGATCGGATAGCCCTGCTCCAATCCTAGCCATCGTTTCCTTGCGCTTCACGTGACAACACCGTGCCGCGTGTATAGGGGCCGTCCATAAATGACGTGACGCGGTTTTTGACGATTTTTGACCCCCCACCGTCGTCACAAAAAGTCAGACCCCCCCCCTCAAATTTGACGTCACAAAGCTCTGCCCCCCCCCAAATAAAACGTGCTTCAAATCGCTTTAAACTATTGTCATTGTAGTGCGTATTTAATGTGGCGCTGCACTCTGATGTTGTAGGAGAAAACATTTATTGAAAAGTCTATTTAATTAAGTAGAACGTGTTGTCTATATATTTTTTTATAAAGTTGCGCATTTGATGTGACGTCACATTTCTCAAACCCCCCCCCCTCATCACACATCGTCACAAATGTCTGACCCCCCCCCCCAGGTGCGTGACGTCATTTATGGACGGTCCCATACCGCACACAACCCTGGTTTTAGACCACCCACTCGCAATTGTGACCAAAGTATTTTAGACAGTTGCGGGACAATTCAATAACCGTGGCGGTTTGATTCCTCTTATGAATCATCGGAACAGTCTAGCCACCATCGCTGCTTGCTACCGTGTGGCTCAGCTGCGTTGCATTATGACCGGGAATAGAAACTCCGCTCACTGATGCCTCGGAGCGCAGTGTGCTAACCACTCTGCCACCGCTCCACCGCAGTGTTACATACATGAGCTTGCATGCGTGCATGTGTTTGTGCACATAGCCTGGCACAAGCGCCGTGGTGACATCACCGCCACTTATTGGCGAATGGCGGTCGTTGTTGTACTCTGTGTTGATATGTGTGTGTGTGTATATACATGCACGGAACATAATATTCACGAATCAAAGCAATATATATTATTTTTTCTGATATGTTATTCGCAAGTTCTATGCCCGAGGGAAGATACATGGCTCAAGCCCCCCCATCAAATCTGAGCTTCACCTCTTAACACCACACACCACATGAGGGCACTTGAACTAAAGACTCATAGAGGGACAGTCGCAGAGGCGTCCCTTTGCCACCCTCAACAATGTTCCTGAGGTGACACCATCGCCGGATTCAGTCAAATAACACAATCCTGCGGAGGGAGCTGGTAGTAGGAACGTTGGGTTGCTCGGTCAATGGCCAGGGTCAACGGCGGCACCACGTGGTGTATTCCGCAAATATGCCCGACTGTGAGGGCGGGCACAAGCCAGCGTGAGTAGGTTAAACGTTGAGTTTTATAAGGGCACCACGGGGTGACCAGCCCCTCCCCACCCAGCCCCACCCCTCCCAACCCTCACCCAGCCCCAGCCTCCCCACCCAGCCCCTCCCCACCCTCCCCACCCCACCCAGCCCCACCCAGCCCCACCCCTCACCCAGCCCCAGCCTCCCCACCCAGCTCCTCCCCACCCTCCCCACCCAGCCCCTCCCCTCCCCACCAGCCCCTCTCCACCCAGCCCCTCCCCACCCAGCCCCTCCCCACCCAGCCCCTCTCCACCCAGCCCCTCCCCACCCTCTCCACCCAGCCCCTCCCATTTTTGGATGCACGATGGACGGACGGACACAATAATCCCCTGTGGGCTGGTGGTGTAACCAGGAGGTTCCTACCAGTATCATGTTATTATCCGATATATACATTGTCTAGTATGTACAGTACGTATGTATGATACATCATTATCATCATCATTACCCATGGTCGATCCATTGCTGGATATACGTCTCCCCAAGCAATTTCCATCTCTCACGGTCTTGTGACGCAACAATCCCTTTCTCAGTATGCTGCATTACCTCTTTATTTTTGGAGATGCTCGTGAATGGAAAATTTCGCGGATAATGATATCGGCCTACGAATATCGTACGTGCAACGTCTGCAGATGCTTCTAAAAGTTCGACAAGTTCTCTCTATTTATCGCATCTCGTTATCTCATTGCTTTCTCTTTCATCACTTTATATCATCACTCTATCTCATCACATTCCCTCGTCACTTTACCTCATTGCTTTACCTCGTCACATTCTCTCGTCACTTTACCTCATCGTTTTACCTCATCGCTTTACCTCATCACATTCTCTCGTCACTTTACTTCATCACTTTATCTCGTCACTTTACCTCATCGCTTTACCTCATCGCTTTATCTCATCAGATTCTCTCGTTACTTTACCTCATCGTTTTACCTCATCACTTTACCTCATCACATTCTCTCGTCACTTTAAAAAATCACTTTACCTCATCACTATCTCATCACTCTATCTCATCACATTCTCTCGTCACTTTACCTCATTAATTTCTCCCTCTCTCTCTCGATGCAGTCGTATACAGTTCCAGATGTGATTCGCCAATAGCCAAAATCGCGGATAGCAAGATCATGAATTAACGAGGAAATACTGCAGTTAGGTTGCACCATTACGGGATGAATTTAAATACCACACACACACACAAATGATGCCACATTAAGTAGATACACACAAAAGCGACAACAACAAACACCAATAAAATACCAGTGGTAATCCAATTACAGCTCAAGCAGAGACAACACAAAATGCGCAGTGGCGCACACAGTTGGAGGCTGGTGGAGAATGGGGAGGGCTGTAAGATTTGTAGATTCTAGGAACATTGGGACAGGAAGGAGGTTAAGAACGGGAGTCTGAGAGAGAGAGAGAGAAAGAGAGAGTCACTGAATTAGTCACAATTTACACAGCAACGAGTGAGTTTGACTGGTGTGAAATGGGCTAAAACATTTTTTGTACCAAAAAAAAAACCTATGGAATATTTTTTTGTTGTTTATCAATGAAGCTGACAAATAGCATTGGCACTTGGGTTGGAACGGTGATGCAGTGGTTAGCGCACGACTCTATACATCTCACTTATAGCTAACATTCGTGGTGAGCGACATATGAACCAGTCCTGGGCCCCCAAACCCAGCTTCCCAGACCAACAATGACCAGCGCGGTTTAAGTATGGTTTAATAACATCTGTGAAAAAAAAGAGCTTCATAGCTCGGTAAAAAAAAAAAGATTCTGATATTAGACATGGCTTATCGCTTCTCCCTTGCCCGTTCTCTTCGTACTCTTTGGTTGATTCGGTAAAGTCACGTAGGTATAAAATAAAATAAATCGCGACGTTTCGCGCGCAACACACGCGTCCAACATCAGGTGGGAAAGCATGCTTTTATTTTTCTACCTACGTGACTTTACCGAAAGAACCAAAGAGTATGGATTCCTGCAGTCACGAAAGCTTCAAATGAAGATCGTTCTCTTCCTCTTCACTCCCCCCTACACTCCTTCCCATCCATCCCCTACACTTCCGTGATCCCTAAGCACCCTCTATCGTGGTCATTCATTCCTCAACCCTAGCACGCCCCTGCGATCTAAATCGTTCTAATTTTTCACCGTTCTTCAAACTATGCCGAGAGCCTCGAACGGCGGCGCTCTATAAATACAGAATAATATTAGATTAGATCTCCATCCAGCAGTGAATTGATCATGACTGCTGATGACAACGATGACGGGAGTGGGCATATGAGTCACGCGGGATTCAAATTAAAGCACGCGCTACGCATTGATAGACAATCAGTAAAAGGCTGGGATACCACCGAATGTAAGTTATCTTTCTCTTCTCGTGCGTGCCTCGGCACCTGCCCAACCTTTATGAATTATAGAACAGGCAGCAAGGTGGCCAGGTCCTCACTGGGAACATAGCTTGCGATGGGAATCAAATGCGACTGAGCTGACCTTAGGCATGGGTGGGTGACGGCAGTGATTTTACAATGCATCACTCAGTCTGCTAACACACATTCAGTGACGGCCGTTGTGATGTAGACGTAATATCTACGCAGTTATGGGTAAGGAAAGATGTCACCGAGATGATGTTTCTCCAACCGTGAGCAATAATAAGACCTTTTTTTAAAAAAAAAAATTCAGATAGGGAGTAAGAGGTCTCGTGATTGGCTGTCGATATTAAATGTAGTCTGCTGTTCAGAACCGTATGCTATGATCACATTATAAAATGTGAGAGTAATAATCATTAACGTAGACCAATTACATTAATGTACATTTTTAAAATGTCATCTCCCCATGCTTCTGTGCACACTTTTTGTTTAGCTATTGTAAAATGTTGTATTGCCATTGACCATGTTTCTGATTCACTGGCTGAAAACGTTCTTGTGGATGCACATTCAGAGATACAAAGGGGAGCACACGGATCAGAGAATATACACATCTCAAACACAACGGTAATGACCACTGAGAACGACAGCTGACGGGCAAGACCGGTGACGGAATGGCAGCCAAAAGGACAGAACGCACGCGGTCAGGACGGCTTCCGCGGAGATGGAGCGACGAGATGAGATCACGCATTTATCCAGCAGTGGACAGAGCATGGTCGATGATGGTGATGGTCCCACCGTACGTAGCCGACCGATTAGCACTGTTGCCTACGTACGATGCGAAAGAAGCTCAACTCACACACGTAAAATTAACCCGAATGCAATGATTTTATTTACGTTCTTAATGAAGCGCTACCG